AAAAAAAAAAAAAAAAAAAAAAAAAAAAAAAAAAAAAAAGATTTATTTGCAGTTCTTTTTTCCTTATGATATATCCCAAAAGACTTGTTCTGTCAAATTTTACGGCTTTAAAGTCACTTGAAATGATAATTCTGCATGTGGTCTTGCCACCAACTTCTGGTTATGCCACAAAGTTCATTTGTTTCCTTCTGTTTTTGACTGTTAGAGATTCCTTTGGATTTATTCATTATTTATTTATGATAATATAAATCATTTTCATTTTCCCAAAGTCAAATGGCTGTTTTGTGTGTATGTGTGGCTAATGGCTGTTTTGTGTGTATGTGTGGCTTTTTTTTTTTTTTTAGCTCCGAACCCTTGAAAAAAAAATTTTTTTTAATTAACCATTCAGAGAAGTCTAACCTCTCTTCTCCTTACCTTTTTAATTTGATCTTCCATTATATCTTTTTGAAAATATAAGCAAATATATATGCATATACTTGTGTCTGCAAGTCACCTCATTTCTTAGTAAAAAAATACATACTCTTCTGCACCTTGTTCTTATCACTTAGCAATATAGCCTAAAGGAGCTTCCAAGTTGGTGAATGCATCCACTTGCCAGAAGGGTGGTGCATCCCAACTCCATGGGACAGAAACTCCTGTGGTCAGGCCCTTCCAGACCTTGACCTATATACCAATTCATCTGGCTGTTCATCAGTAAACAAAGGCAGAAACTCTCCAGATGTCTTCCAGTAATGTCCAGTTTTTATCCCAATGTCTCAAATAAATACTAATGGCCCACCCAAGACAACCTCCATCAACCTGGAGTGTTGGGCATAACTTTGCGCGCGTGCACCCTGACGCGCACGGGCGCCAGTTCATGCGCTCCGCGGCCACCATTTCACTAGCGCTCAACGGCACGTAGCTGCCAGCCTCGCCCTTCCGGGTCCCAGTGATTCAGCAACTTTAGTTCCGTATTCGCGTAGAGCCTCCCCACCACCTCACCCTATCCTTTTAAGCCCTTCTTATTGGCTCTTTGCTTGATCTCTCATATCAAAACCCGCCCTGCCCTTTTTCCCTATATAAGCTGTGCCGCCCTGCAAATAAACGGAGTTCCGGCTTTGACCACTCTCCTGGCTCGGTGGTGTTCTTTCTCGGCCCCCGGGGAGGAAGGTCCTGGGGGGGAAGGGCCGTGCCAGCGACACTCATCATCCCGCTCAGCCCCACAAGGGACCCCCGGCTGGACCGGGGTCTCTTCCCGCTCGGTTTTGTCGGCCTCTGGCTCAGGGAGGCCCGACACTGGAGTCATTTACTGAAGGAGCTGTATTAAATTTGAATAACATCTGCTGTTCAGTAAAAGTGAAGAGTGGCTTTCTACTTGGTCAAAAAACAGTTAAGAAAGATTAATGAATATCAAGGGGATCATGAAACCTGGCCTCAGTGTCACCCTGAGACACACAGGTGGAGGCAAATTTTCAATGTTAGATGTCTTAGCTGCAAAGAAAGATCCACATGGATTATCTGGAGATGTTCTGATAAACGGAGCACTTCAAGCTGCCAATTTCAAATGGTGTTCAGGTAATGTGGTACAGGATGATGTTCTGATGGGGACGCTGACAGTGTCCATCACTGTTCTCAATAGCTCTTTGTCTTCCAACCATGACAAATTGTGAAAAAAAGGAATGGATTAACACAGTCATTGAAGAGTCAGGTATGGACAAAGTGGTAGACTACAAGGGTAAACTCGATTCATCTATGGTGTGTCTGGAGGATAAAGAAAAAGAACTAGTATAGGAATGGAGCTTATTACTCATCCATCCATCTTGCTCCTGAATCAGCCTACAAGTGGCTTAGACTCAAGCCCAGCAAATGCCGTCCTTTTGCTCCTGAAGAGGATGTCTAAACAGGAATGAACAATCATCTTCTCCATTCATCAGCCTCATTATTCCATCTTCAAGTTGTTTCATAGCCTCACCTTATTGATCTCAGAAAGACTAATGTTCCCTGCTCAGAAACTCCTGGGGTAATCTGCATCAGCAGGTTACCACTCTGAGCCCTATGGGTTCACCTTGTGGACTTCTTCCTGGATGTCATTATTGGGGACTCCTCTGCTGTATTATTAAATAGAGAGAAAGAAGATAGTGAAGCCAAGGAGACTGAAGAGCCGTCCAAGTGAGATACGCCACTCACAGAAAAATTATCTGAGTTTTATGTCAACTCCATCTTCCTCAGAGAAACAAAAGCTGAATTAGATCAACTCTTACCGGGTCAGAAAAAGAGTTGCTCAGCCTTCAAGGAAATCACCTATGTGAACTCCTTCTGTCATCAACTCAGATTTCCAGACATTCATTCAAAAACTTGCCAGATAACCCCCAAGCCTCTATAGCTCAGATAATTGGTACAATCATCCAGGAACCGGTTGTAGGTGCCAATTCCTTGAGACTAAAAAAATGATCCTACTGGAACCCAGAATAAAGCTA